TGCTCACGCTTAAATTCCAAACGGTTCAACTATTACAGCTCATTCTCAATAATTATACAGTTAAAACTTTCTCATTTCTACCACTTCTTTTTTTCTATGCATTGCTATGGAGGCTGCCAGCATCTGCAGGTGTTTGCAGGGAGGTGTATGATGTTGACGGTGGGACTTACTTCCCCTGCACTCTTAGCACACTTAGCCAAACATATTTTTCTATGTTTGCTAACGATTTATTTACTTGTTCTTTCTTCATTGGCCAGCAAATTCTGTTATACCCAAATCCTATGGTGTTTGATATGTTTTACATATGCTGGATGCTGGTTCTTTGCTTCCTCTGTTATCCTCCATACCAGCACATAAAGTTGCATTCCTGTAGTGAGTAATAACTGATTATTAATGATTTGCGCTTGTAACCCTAGGGCCCCTATCCTATACTTGCACTTTCAAGTCTTCTGCTATTATTTTGTGCTTGTACTTTTGGAGACATCTGTTAAAATCCTCTGGTTTTCTTCAACAGCCTTCAAGCTATATTTTCCTGATAACATGACCTACGTTTTATTAGCACATACATATCCTTTTTCTGGAGTCACTCAATAGTTCACTGTACAAAAATAATGGTGCATTAGAAGACAGACGCAGGGATACGTACAGACACAGATGTGATGCTGGGCACCACCTGCTCCCAAAATACATTGCTTGCAACAATATCACTGGCATGTTACCAAACTTGTTTTGCAATGCATCTTTGAACAGAGAACTGCTGAGGTGCTTATTCATGGTGGCAGCACCACTTGGGCTTGATCTTCCCGCGACTGTGAGGACAGGACTGGCAGGGCTCAGCGGTGCAGTGGCAAAACCTCACCGCATGTGAGCCTCACCTCCGTGGGGAGGGAGCTGGTCTGGCTGAAACCCTTCTGGCCCTCAACCACTCACACATCTCAAGAAACCAAAGGGCAAATGACTGATGCTTGCTACTGAAAAAATGAAGTTCCTTGCTAGCATCGTCCCACAAGACATCTGTCAAACTCTGACAGATGTAAGTAGGGATTTATTTCTATTCCCAGTGCTTGATTTGGAAATTACACCTGCTTACTGATAGGTGCAGTTTTGGGGAAAAGAAAATGAGGGGAATTATGTCATACACATTAATGAGAATGTGCTCCAAGACTGCTGTGAGGATGACAGCAGCATTCTGAGACTCTCTTGCAGGGCTGAAATTGCAAGAAACTTTTACAGGAAAAAGAATAAATTCAGTTTAGCTTTCAATTTCTCACTGGTTAATTGAGATGGAGGTGTTCAAAAAAGGACTGAAAAATTGAGATCTGTTGTGCCTCGCTGCTGTTATACAAATGTAATTATGCTGTCTGCAACCTTTGTGTTGGGCAGAAGTATCATGACATTGTATAAGTATACATTGTGTATATCAGTGCCTGTGAATGTCTCTGTGTATATACTAGTACGGATACTCTATGTATGAACTCGTAAGTCCTATGTCCTTGTAAGGACCTAAGTTTAGGTGCAGATATTTTTATGTATCTACAGGCATTGGACTTGATCTGAAGTCTCCCATTTCCCAGGGAGTCTTCTGACCGCTAATGTATTTGGATGTATTTGGTAAGTGGTCTAAGTGTATGTTAGACAGCACATTTTATTTTTATTTTTTAAATTTTATTTTGTAATCAGCCTTCAAACTTTTTCAGTCTACTTTTGCCAGTCCTTGACTGTCTTCTATGCCAGACCAGATGGCAAACCTGGCCATACTACAATAAAACCTGTGCAAAATCAGCAGCAATATTTCTGGGTCATTTCTGATTGATTCACACAATAAAATGAATGCAGGACAGACAGAAGGAAACAGTAATTACCTGCTGAGGGACTAGCTGTAGGCAATCTGGGCATGGGACTGCCTAGCTTCAGGGCTGTACATGGATGATGGACTAGAGCAGCTTGGGATGTTACAGCAGAGGTGTTTTTAGCTGGGAAGATGTTGTTTCCTTGGAGGTTTAGAAGACAGGAGCAAATAAGGATTTTAAGGGTGTCACTGATCCTCAAATATGATTGAGACACCCAGGTCACCTTAGAGTCTAATGTTTTACGACCCTTTAGTCAAACTGCATTTAATTAAATCAATTAAACATAACAGGCAAGGTATTTTACTTACCCTCTGCAAAGGACCAAATTAAAAGTTATCTTTACTTACTTTTGACCATGCTTAGTTGCATATGTGTAGGCCAGTATGAAACTGCAATTACAGTTGTATAAAATCTGCTGGGTTGAAGAGCTAATTAAAATTATTGTTGAAAAGAAACACTTTAGCTGAATGAGCTCTTGCATTGTGAATAATAGATTACAATGTCATATTATTATTGAACTGCTCTTTCTAGTGCTTTACACACATTAATTTTCAAAAGATGTCTGCATGTATGTTTTAGTTGTGCTGCTGTACTGAAAGAAGAAAAAGTGATTTGCTGAAGGTGATACAATGGGCACATCACAGGGCTTGGGGAAGTTCCTAGACCACAGCTGTTGGTGGGAATTTTGGCACAATCTTCAGCTGGGCTGTAATTTCATCCTGGACTTTTGGGGTGGAGTTAGCTTTTTCCCCTCAAGTTTCACAGATATAAAACTGGTGTTCAGATGATCATCTGCTGCTGTTTGTAAAAAGGTTTTAGATAAACCAGAGCTTGTATTACTCAATAATCCGCTAATCTGTATTAGGTTACCATGATAGATATAGTAAGTCAGGATATGAAGATATGCTGAAGATTCTTACATCTCATTGACTGATAATGTCATCTGTAGTAGACTAGCCTTTTTCTGTGTCTCGAGGAGGAGACAATGTGTCTTTGTGGTTTGACTTTAGTCTGAACACAGAAAAGGTATTTAAGGAGAGGTTACACAACCCGTGCCGTGTTTTCGGGTGGCCCCTCTCCCTGGCTGGGTGAGTGGTGTTGGCTAGGCTCTCTCTGTCTGTTAGAGTTATATTTATCACGGAGGAATTGTGGGCATGTGAATTTGTGCTCTGACCAAAACAGCTCTTCAGTCAACATGTTTCTATGTCATGATGCACACGCTTGTTATTTTGCTATTATTTATGCATATATTTCCTTTTCTATCCTTTAAACAAATAAATAAACAGCCTCAAAAGGAAGTACTTGATATTTCAAGAGTGAGGTTTCCTCAGGGTGTCGTTTTATTAGCAAAATGACTTACATTAGCAAATCAGTGGAAGAAGTGGTAATGTGAACCAGCATATTCAATTTCATTTTAGCAATCTGTATTCTGGAAGGAAATCCTGGGAAGCAATCAGTGACAATGGGGCCTCAATTTAAATTACAAAATAGGCAGTACGCTGAATGCTTATAAAGCATGTGAGAGATTAAATGGAGGTGTTCATTTGTCTTCATAAGGCAACCAAGATAATAAAAATTGTGCTCTACAAGTAAGGACTGTAGAAGCTGTGGTAATGAAAGCAATAATTAATATGATTTAAGTTACTGTCCCCAGGGCAGCTGTAAATTGGTGGTATTAATTATGCAACAAACCTGTTTGTAAATTGATGACATAGGAAGTAATCTAGAATAAGTTTCTCCTTTTGAAGTTATTCGGCAATGTATTATGCAGCAGTCTATAGCCCCCAATGGATATTCAAAGGTTATTTATATTAAACTCTCCTATTTATATTTTTCAAAGAACTAAGTAACATGAAAGGATACAATTAAAAACAATCAATTATCTCATTGTGCATGAAGTTGATTATGTAACAGAAAGGAGAATTCATTAGTATTAACTTCAACAGACGTCACAGATGGTATTTTTCTGCCACTGTAACTCTATTTATTCAAGTGAATTACAGCAGCAGGGAATGTATGGCATTGAATTCCTTCTGCCGTTACTACTGTTTATGGAGAAAAGGTGATAATCTGCAAGAACGTTTCACATATGTATTTATATATATTTGAATTTTAAGGTTATTTCTCTGTTATTTACCTCTACATGTCAGTGTGGCTATTAATAGATCTAATTAAATGCTGAAAGTCCAACCTGTTCATTTCTTTCAGTTCTTCAAGGATATAAACATCAGCCAGTGAGATATAGTAAATGAGATGAGTACATGAAAAAAGATACAGAAATCCTTTCTCTACCTTGAAAAAACAAAAGAAAAGAAAAATGTGTAATGGGTCCTTCTGCTTCACACTGTCCAATTAAAATTTACATTTTAAAATGTCAAAGTATTTTTAGTTGTTTTTTTGAAATCTGTAAAACAAAAACAACCACTTAAAAGATATTTTTAAGGAAGAGTTTTTTTCTCTTTCGTTTTCCCCAGTGGAAACATTTGCTTTTTCTGACCAGTCTTGTGATGTTTTCTCATTGTCTAGGTTTCTGTGATGCAGCCTAGATTGCATGACCAGTTTTACCTGCTGGAAGCTCCTGTTTCCCACTTGCTATCAGTGAATCTAAAAGGAGCACATTCCTGCACACAGTATCTTTGAATTTTTTGTAATGCAGCAATTCTATTTGCTGGTTTGTACTTTCTAAACTCTAGGAAATATAAAATATACTAGAGGAATATAAATAATGACATGCTTTAATGGCATCTTCCACCTGAAAAAATATTCTAGCTTGCACATCTTTATGTGAGTTTTTCAATCTTAGTTTTAGTTTGCAAGCAATTTTGATGGTTATTTCCCCAACGTGTTTAGGCCAAATACAGCAAGATTTTCTTCATATACTCTTTAATTTTTCCACCAAAGCAATAAAAATGGAAGTGCAGGGTAAAACACAGTACAGAATTAGGTGCTAGCAAGATCTCCCCATTACTACGCAATGGTCTGAAGCTTCATAACTTGGCTTTTTGTTTGTATTTCCTCATTACAGATATGCAGATAAAGTACTGGGAGTTTAGCAACACTACTACATTTGATTGGCATTTTCTATAAATCTGTTTGTGCGTGGGCTTGCTGTTTGCACACTTTTTCTCTCTCTCTTCCTTTTTCTTTTAGACGGAAGATTTTGTTCTCTGACACAAGAATACCAACTGCTACAGAGCATCTGCTGTCAAATGTCAAACAAGAGCATGACAAGAGGGTGAGGGAGAGGGGGAAAATGTTAGTAAAGATGACTGAGGTAGCCAGAGTCACTAGCTGCATTTCCTAATGAAATGACGTGAAATGAAAGCACAGCTGCAGATCTGCAGGAAAGCAAAGGCTGTCTCTAGCTGATTTCAGTGGAGAGCCAGGTGCTGTATAAGACTATAATGGATAGTCGTAGATGTAAATATAGATACAGATAGAGATATATATATAGTGTCCAGAAATCATTAATACTAATATGATGGGTGCTCCTGCCTCTGTGCAGGTAATCCTACTTCTTGATGAGCATCTTTGGGTACAGCAGGTGCTTGGGTGGAGGTTGCATCCCGGGCTGCATTGTGAATACATCCTTCAGTACTGATGCTACTCTGATGACTTGTATCAGGAGCAAGGTTTAATTAAGTGTTTAATGTGCTGGCTATTAATATTTAAAAATTGTGTTGCTGCTTTATGAAAAACAATTATCAGGCTCAGGTACATCGCCTGCTGAGAGAAGGATAGAGCTGTGTTGTTTCTCCTTCCCATAAAATAACATCCAGAGCTCCTGGCGTGGTGGAACATTTAGCAGTTGCTCTTTTGCTACAGATTCAGGCCATGCATCGTGTACTCCAATGCTTGGCCACTTGTGTGACATGGAGGAGAGGGAAATTAGGAGACCACCTTGTCCTTGCACCCTTGCAATGCACACCTCTAACTGGGTAGCAAGCCTGCAATGTAATGTAACCTACTCGTGTGAGTTCGTCAATATAAAGGCCCAATTTCAGAACCAAATGGCTGCCATTTATTCAGATTTTTCACTTTCAAACATCGAAATTTATTCTGGGTGTGTCTGAGAGAGCAGAGTTCTCTTGAATTGTAGAGAAAAGAGTAGTTGGCAATGCTTGTATAAATAACCCATCTCCGTTTTGCCCAAGCCCTCCGGGAGATAATTGTCAGTGGAAGTAACCAATATTTTCTTAATTTTTTTAAAAACTGGAAATCTGTGTCTGTCATTTTTAATGTTCCAGCCACGAGAAGATAGAGTCAGGTGAATGTATTCCATAATTCCACTCTGTTCTGTAATTGCTATTTACTTACGGATGCAAATTACTAAGAAGCATAACGAGAGCCATAACTCTCCAATTTGTTCCACTTTAAACAAGCAAGCCCCCAAAAAAGAGCCAAAGTAATAGTCATGTTTTTCTGTATGATTCACTATAGTGCAAGGCTCTGCATATTAGAGTTCATTGAAAACACTATTAACTGCTTTAAATCAGATGATAAAACAAGGGAAAATCTATACATTCCATAGTTTTCAATCAGAAAGAAGGTTTTTTTACACCAACAAGTAGTGGGAAAGCCAGTATGTTAGATTCAGTGGTTTGGGACGTGTTTCCCTCTATTTACCTTGCCAAGGCCTTTGCAGTTCCTCTCGCTGATATCTGGCAAGGTAACTGAGAGTTTTGCCATGGTGTGGACTACTTTTTCCTAGCCAACATCACCTGTGAAGGAGCTGGAAGTGATGGGAGAGCACTGTGGTAAAATCAAATGTTTAGGTGAAACTGCCTTCTCTTCAGTGCATTCAGGCCCTATGTACGCCTGTGCAAGGTGGAGAGGGAGAAATGAGCAGGCAGACACATGATTAGTTGGTGTATGTGGCTGAATGGCCCAAAGAAATTGGGAGAAGATATTTTCCTTGAACGGGAATTTGTTCTAGATGTTGTCAGAATTAACTGCATTTGCATTAGAAAATGTAAACATGTTTTGCTTTCTTTTTGCAGAGAAAAGTTTTTTCCAATTTGTTTTAAGTTGTTAAGCAAATATTCTAAGGGCTACAATATGTCCAGGTACAGTGCTATAATTACATTGTTATTCTACTGAAATGGAGCTAAACAAAGATAAAAACAGCCTTGAAATAAATTGAATATGGTTTTCTGATTCTGGTATGGAATATGGAAAGAATAACAAATTATTGAACAAATTTTCTCCTATCTACTGTGTTACACCACTAGAATACATAGGATGTTGATGGCCATAATCAAGGCAGTATTCTGTCTGTTAAAGAAGACCTTAATATACAATGACCCAATTAAAAAAAACAATGATGGATATAGCTAATAATAGGCTTGTAAATTGCATAGATTAATGAATTTCTTATTTCCATTCTGACAAAAATAATCTTTATTTGGATAAAAAAGTTAAACTATTTATGTGTTTTGTAGGTCATTTCTCAAGAATCTGAAACCAAACCATTGACCTTCACATTTGTACCATCCATTGGAAGACTTCCAACTCATTTTGAGGTTGTGGATGTCTCTAAGTTCCTTGTGACAATTCCAGAGGAATCAAAGGATCTGAGCAATCAAGAAATTATAAATAAGGTAGCTTTTTGTTTGTACTGATTTTTCCACTGTTTCAAAAGATACTGAAAATAGCAGCCCAGTATCCTGGGCTGCATCCAAAGCAGTGTGACCAGCAGGTCGAGGGAGGGGATTCTGCCCCTCTGCTCCTCTCTAGTGAGACCCCCCCCGGCAGTACTGCCTTCAGATCTGGGGTCCTCAGCACAAGAAGGACATGGACCTGTTGGAGCGAGTCCAGAGGAGGCCACGGAGATGATCCGAGGGCTGGAGCACCTCTGCTGTGAGGACCGGCTGAGAGAGTTGGGGCTGTTCAGCCTGGAGAAGAGAAGGCTCTTGGGAGACCTGATAGCAGCCTTCCAGTACCTAAAAGGGGCCTACAGGAAAGTTGGAGAGGGACTTTTTATGAGGGCATGGAGTGATAGGACAAGGGGTAATGGCTTTAAACTGAAAGAAGGCAGATTTAGATTAGCTATAAGGAAGAAATTCTTCACTATGAGGGTGGTGAGGCACTGGAACAGGTTGTCCAGAGAAGCTGTGGCTGCCCCATCCCTGGAAGTGTTCAAGACCAGGTTGGATGGGGCTTTGAGCAACCTGGTTTGGTGGAAGGTATCCTTGCCCATGGCACGGGGGTTGGAACTGGATGGGCTTTAAGGTCCCTTCCAACCCAAACCATTCTGTGATTCTACGATTCTATGAAAATTTTATCTGGAGCATCACTGAACTGAAGGTCTTTCCCTTGAACTGTTTTTTGGCTTGTGCTTGTTTTTAATTACCAAACCTACCAGAGGTGCAGAATCATTGTGCAAGAGAGGGCTGATATCTGCTCAAAGGCCTGTTTTGCCTTTGTCAGAGTTTGTATTGGAAGGAAACCCTTACCCATCCTGATACTGACCTCTGTCAGTCATACAAGGCTATATTCTTGGCAAATGAGGGATGATTCCTTCCTGATCTTCATAAGAGCAAGGGTGTTGTGTGAAGAGTGTTATTACATGGGAATCGACCAACAGTTGGTTCCTGGGTCCTGGTTTCAGCACTTGCCAGTGCTGTGACTTCCAGCAAAGGTGTCAATCGCTTTCATAGCTGTGTAGTAATGCACTGAAGTGGAAGCTTGCTTTTTGTTTGTGAAAGCTTGTCTCCATGATTTCCTGTGATGGTGAAGCCAGCAGCACAACATTGCTGGTTCTCCTTCCTTCAACCAGCCAACAGTGTCTGTTATTCCTTTCTTGCCTCACAACATTTAATGGCCTCTTATTTTATTCTGTGCTGCTTGAAAGGTATCTGCGACCCTCAGGTTAACGTTAATGCTTATGATGATTCTGCTCTTGTGTAACAGCTCCTTCCCTTGGACACTGCAGAGGCTGCAGTTCTGGGTGCTCTTCCACATCCTAAACTTTTCACAGGAGTTCACAGTCCCGTGACCTGGACATGCTCCAGTATTTTCAGTGTCCTATCTGTCTAAAAAGTGGTTAGATCTGGGCAGAGAATGGATGCGTTTGAAGAGACATGCACTGGAGTATTATCCTCAGGTTATTTAACTCATTAGTTACATTTCTAGCCACTCAGACTGGAAATAACAAACGGATAGATTTTGCTCTAAAAGTAACATCCTAGGTAAAGCAGATTTGGGTCTTTCTGACATCTGTCTCCCTGTGTTTCTCTGTAGGCAGAGAAAACTTTCCTGGCAGGTGACGCAGTGCTGAGGCCTTCATAGCACTAGTTAGTCCCTTTTCTAAAATGTCTAGAACCTGAACAATATTTTAAAAAACCAACCAGCATCAGATAATGAAAAAACACCTCCAAAGTCATACTGGTGGTATCTCCCTTTATGATCCAGTATTTTTTTAAAGGACTGAGCTCCAGGGACTCATGGACCTGCAAGTGAAGTGGAAATTTGTAATGACTGTGTTCCTCGAGCAGGATTCAAATATGAGCCCCATCTACAGGCTTTCTCTTGCAGTACATAACATTTCTACTCTTTTACCTGATTCCTTCTTCAAGAGAAATACAATTTACCATAGCAGTTTCAATATTGAATGATTCGGTGATGTGTGTGTCGTATGCCCAGCTTGCACTACTCCTGTTCTCATGCAAAGTGTGCTTGAGAAGTTACACACTGGAAGTGGAAATTGCAGAAAACATGAAGAACAATTGTGGTCTGTGCTGAGAAGCTTGAACATACAGTAAAGGTCTCTGACCTCAGATTCTTTGTCTGCTCTCTTCAGAGAATGCCCTGGCTTAAAGGCCTTTGTTTCTTCATTAATATGTATAGATTTTGTCCCAGATTTGTCTGTCAGACTCCTCTGAGGAGCATTGTCTGCTCCCGTGGATCCCGCGGTCGGGATGCCTTCCCATCGTGTCTAGCGTAGTCTGGTCTGACAGCTCATTCGGCTTGACTGAACCCTCCTTTTTGGTTCCCGCACCAACCCCGGGCTCGGACCATCGTTGTGATCAGAGTCCCCTGTTGCTCCACCAGTCGCCGGGAAGGCATCCCCCGCAGCATCGGCCAGGGGGCTGGCAGTGGGGGTGTCCCTGGGGAGCTGGTCTCTGCTGGGTGCTCATGCCCCAATCCTTCATTCACCCTCTGCACTTTTGGTAGCGCAGTGCCAGCTACCACTGCAAGCCAAAATTACTTCACATTTTGGGGAATGCAAATAAAATGCAGCTAATTGGGATTTTTTTCCTTGTATCTTTTGCAGTCTAACGCAACCTCTGATGAACTGGCCTTAAAGAACGCGGCCAGACAAGTCTGCGCGTCCGACGTCTGTACAGACAGCACCCAAACGGCTTTCCAGTCCCTGGGGTATAACTCGAGCAAAGGAGAAATGCAGGAGAATGACCTTTTTAAGGCTGAGTTTATCCTGATTACAGACTCCGGTGATGAAGATGAAGTAGCTGCTGCCTCGAACAACATTCATCGGCCTTCCAATGGCTACTGTCCCATCAGTGCTCAGCTGCTGGCCGCATCCCACGTTTCCCCTGGCACTGGGGCAGGCAAACCTCCCAGCGACGGGCTTTCCGCTGATCCACAAAAACACCAGGTAACCTGCTCTTTAAACTCTAGAACTAACCTTTGCTTTCTAAAGCTTTCAGGATGTGGAAACTGAGTCAGTTTGTAAAGCAGTTTGGCAAATTTATTCTTTAATTAGTATTTTTATTGGCCATGCTTGTAATGTTTGGACTATAGGAGTTGTCCCAACCCTTCTGACTTGCTGCTTCTCCGTATGACTCTGGTATATACATGGAGCAGGTAATGCAGATGTATTGTTCTTTCCTTTAAGAGCAGCTCATTGTGACAGCAAGTTAATCAGAAGGTGTTAGATTCCTACCTAGTCTAAATTGGCTGAGGTCATTGAAATCAATGGAGCCTGTAGATCATTTGAATTATTAGCATCAGACTTCCCAGGCCTAGTTTTTTTTTTTTCTCAGCACCTGCTGCAGCCCTTTATGGCTAGAGAAAGATGCTGTAAAAAATCCTATTATTCTGATTGTTAGTTAGCACTGACTTTACACAGGTGTAAAGAATTAATGAAGATGAAAGGTCCACTTTATGTTGATCTTTATAGGGAGCTTTTATTGACTTATTAAAATTTTAAATTGTCATGGGACAATTCAAAAAAGGGTCTTTGAAACGTTTCATTTTCAAAATGCATCAGTCTGATTTACTGCATGAAAAGTTAACGTCTCCCATCTCAGAAAGAGCACTGATAGTTTTGCAGAGTGTTATGCAGTGGAAAACTCCACTTTTAGCAAGACAGTAACATCCTCCTCCCATGGAATAAATTTGGACATTTCCTTTGACCTCGACAGGGTTTCCATCAGTTGAAAATGGAATTCTTCATCAATCATTTTAAAAAAAAAGTTAAGCATAGCTACTTCGTCTCTGAAAGTGAATGGGACTTCCATTCTTGTGTTGAAATACTTGTGCTACTCAATTTTTCATCAAATTCAGTGTCAATTTTTGATTGAGGAAATTGTGAATAAGAAATCCACTCTGGTTTGGGATTCACAGCATTATGAAACATTCATTTGTTCCAAGAAACCCCCAGTGGAGTCAGTGAGAATTTTACCCGAGGAAGGTGTAAAGGCATAGATAAATCTATGTAGAGGAAGCAACCTGTAGAAGAATAATTGTCCTAGGGAAATACAAATTTACTTCAGCAATGTTCAGTATGCAGATTCTGCCAGGCTTACTTTAGTATTTTCTTTAAAAGCTATTGCAGAAATTGTGTGGATTTTTTGTAAGAGTACACAGAAGAATTCATATGCTGTAACTTTCTCAAGCTTTTGATGATTTGACAAGTAAACAGGGATTTGCCTGGTAAAGTGACAGAAAACACAGATTGCACAGAGCAAGGAACTAAAGCCTAACTTTACTAACTGTTCACCTGAATGTGAAGAGAGGAAGTATGTAATATGAGTAATGCATATCTCATCATTGTTCTTAAGTCACGAGTTTTCAAGGCTCTAAGTACTTCCTCAGCCTTAATTAGCTGAATATCTCAAGCTGTCTCGGTCACTTCATAAGAAGAGGATGTTTTTACTAAGCTACATTTCGCTGATGTTCTGATTCTTCTTCTGTGTTTCCTTAAGCATCACTCTTTCTGACTTACTATCTAATGAAGTATCACCAGTTCAGAAATGAAGGAAAATTACGAAAAGATTAAATAGATGTATTATTTATCTGTTGGTAGCTTTCCTTTGTACAAAGGGTTCCATGCAGGGGCTACTTTGTCGGTTCTTGGATTGTAAGGGCAGTATCATGTCCCACTTAAGAGTTATTACATGCAACATTATGTTCATTTAAAAGCATAATTAGACTACAGGTGAGAAAAACAAGGACCAGCATTGGGGACCATTGTGTTGTAGAGGGGATCACTCTAACTGAACCAGAGGCCTCCTACAGCTTCATTCATTTCTGACTTTGTTTAAATGAAATAAAAAAAGCATTGAAAAAAATGCAAGCTTCTGTTATTCTTTGAGGCGTAGAGGTCCTGGCTGATGTTGGAAATGCCGTGCTATATTCAAAGTCTGAAAAACATCTTCAGTTGAAAAAAAATTTATTCTGGTCATATTTGGATCTTTTTGGTGATAGTTTACTGTTTATATATTGTGCTTTTTTTTTTTTTTTT